CCGTTTGGTGGTGCTGGTGAGTCCTTTGGACGGCACGCGTCAAATCGACGTGAATGTTTCTTCGGGCTCTTTATTTTCCATTTATAAAAGAATAACTCCCAGGGGGCAGCCGGTGCAGCAGCAGGACTTTCTGCAGGCCGGCGAGAAGCAGGCGAGCTGCTGCTGCTGCTGCTGCTGCTGCTGCTGCTGCTGCTGCAGCTGGGTTATACTGCGGCGCTGCTGCCGCTGCTGCTGCTGCTGCTGCTTCTGTTGGTGGTGGCTTATGTTTCGGCGCTGCTGCTGGTGGTGGTTTAAACCTCGGCGCTGCTGCTGCTGCTGCTGCTGCTGCCGGTTTAAATTTCAGCGCTGCTGCTGCTGCTGCTGCTGCTGGTGCTTTAGAGTTCGGTGGCGCCCCGCGTGCCGCTGCTGCTGCTGCTGGCGAGTTGTCTGTGCTGCGTCTGGATCCGCAGCTGCGAAGCCCGAAACCCTAAACCCTAAACCCTAAACCCTAAACGGTGGTTTTGTGCAGGTGTGCGCGGGCTACGTGTTGTACGGGTCTTCGACGATCCTGGTGTGCACGATAGGGCGGGGCGTGCAAGGGTTTACGCTAGACCCTTCTTTAGGGACTTTTTATTTGTCCAACAGCAACATTGAAATGCCACAAAAAGGACAAATCTTTTCTGTAAATGGCGGAAAGATGAAACACTTTCCAGTTGCTGTTCGCCAGTACATTTCTCACTGCCAGGACAAGGGTTTCTCCCTCAGATACATCGGCTCCCTTGTCGCAGGTAGGGTTTAGGGTTTAGGGTTTAGGGTTTGGGGTTTGGGGTTTGGGGTTTGGGGTTCGGGGTTTGGGGTTCGGGCTAGGGGGTAGGGTTTGGGGTTTAGGGTTTGGGCTTTGGGGGTGCGGGGGAGGGTTTACCCAGGGTTTGGGGTTTACGGCGTGGAGGGCGGGTCTAGGGTTTAGGGTTTGGGGTTTAGGGCTTGGGAGTGGCTAGACAGGTGAAGCTTATTGTTCATTTCCGACGCATTATGTATATATTTCTGTTTTTGTAAGAGATTTAGAAGCATTTAAAACATATTTAAATGCTTCTAAATCTCTCATGGGAAATGCATTTAAATGAGCGAAATGCCTTTTTTCTGTTTTTGCAAAATGCGCTGCTGTGTGCACTTTGTGCGGTGTACGTACACCCGGCGCCAAGTTGCATGTTTTCTCTCTTCTATCTGTGCATGCAAAGTGTGCATATATGCACTTATATGCCCATATCTCTGTCTGTTTTTTTCTAAATTAACGAAATAAACGAAAGTAAACGAGAATAGGATCTGAAAGAGGTGGTTTGGGAGCAAAAGTGCAAGTTTGGGTTTCCGCGTGCTGCGACTGCGGGTGTACGTACACCCGAGACGGAGCCGGGGAGCAGCCGCTTTTTCGCTGCAGGGGTGAAACAAGGGCTGCAGAGTTCGAAAAAAGGGGAATTAGAGGGAGAAAAGCACTGGTTAGCAGCGTTTCGGGGAAAAAAGCGCGGAAAGCGGGCCTGTTGGCGGCTTTTTGCAGACTTCCACCGGAACATGCTCAAGGGCGGCGTCTACATCTACCCCCCCACCTTCAGCGACCCCCAGCCCTCCGTCAGCATGGTCTTCCAGTGCCTCCCGCTGGCCTTTTTGGCCGAAGAGGCTGGCGGCCGCGCGAGCGACGGCTTTACGCGTTTGCAGGTAATCGAACCCACGAGCTTCGGCGACCGCATTCCCTTCTTCTGCGGCAGCAGGCACCTCGTCGACGTCCTCAACTTCTACATGGCCAAGAACAAACTCAGGGACGGCGGCTGGTGCTTCCGGGCCACCAGCAGCAGCAGCAGCAGCAGCAGCAGCAGCAGCAGCGGCGGCGGCGGCGGCGGCGGGGCGGGAGGGGGGGGGAGCGATAGCGGCAGCGGCAGGGACGGAGGCGAGAGCGATCCCACCCAGCAAGACAAACGCAGCGACAGCGAGACAGCTAGCTAGCTAGCTGGCTGGCTGGCTAGCTGGCTAGCTAGCTAGCTGGCTGGCTAGCTAGCTAGCTGGAGAGCCGGACAGCTAGCTAGCTGGCTAGCTGGCTGGCTGTGAAGCGAGCGAGCTACCTAGCTAGCTAACTGGGGAGGCAGCTGGCTGAATAGCTAGCTGGCTGGAGAGCTAGCTGCATGGCGAGCTAGCTAGCTGGATGGCTGGCTAGTTAGCTGGTTGGCTGGCTAGCTGGTTGGCTGGCTAGCTAGCTAAATGGCTAGTTGGAAATTGCTGCAGCAGACACTGGGGGCGTTAGTTTGCATGCAGCCCCAAAGTGAAGCAGCTAACGAACTCACAGGGGCCCTCAGCCAACAAGGACGGGGTGAGGGGCCCCTGGGGGCCCCTCGGGGGCCCTAGGGGGCCCCTGGGGGGCCCCTGGGGGCCCCAGGGAGCTCCCAAGAGGCAACAATGAGAGAGGCAGGGGCCTACGGCAGAATGCTGCTGCAGGTTTGCTGCTGCAGCAGAAAAGCTGCTGCAGTTGTGCCGCAGGGGCTTTGCTGCTGCAGGTGTGCTGCTGCAGCAGGAAAGCTGCTGCAGTTGTCCTGTACGGGCTTTGCTGCTGCAGCAGAATAGGCCCACAGAAGAAACCTTAAGAAGGCTTTAGGGGGGGCCCCAAGGGGCTGGCGGAGGGGCACAGGGGGCCCCCATGGCCTCGAGAAGGGCCCCAATAAGTCAGCAGAAGGGGCCCTGGGGGCCCCCTCAGGGGCCCCAAGAGAGGCCTAATCAGCCACTAGGGGCCCCCCACAGCAGCGTAGGGGACCCCCATGAAAAGCTA